AAACCACGCCCTTGGGGATTGCTTAAGTCCGTACAATGACTTGTTGAGCTTGCATACTTTCTTGGTATTCATATCTAGATCAACTCCTTGAGGAATCTTCATGTATACTTCTTCTTCTAGGTCACCATTTAGGAATGCATTCTTCACATCTAATTGATGAAGAGGCCAGTCTTGATTAGCAGCAAGTGAGAGCAAAACTTTATGGTGTTGAACTTAGCCACTAGAGCAAAAGTCTCCTGATAATCAATCCCTTGGGTCTGGGTGAAACACTTTGCAACAAGTCTAGTTTGTGCCTATTAATGCTGCCATCTTCATTGTATTTAATTGTGAAGATCCATTTGCACCCAACTGTTGTCTTTCCTGGAGGCAAGTTCATTATTGTTTACGTTTGGTTTTTTTTCAAGGCATTTAACTCTTCCTTGATTGCTTTCTACCATTCTGCAATAGTGAAAGCTTCCCCAAAGGAATAAGGAATTCTTTCTATGCTAACATTGGTGACAAAGGCCTGCATTCTTGTAGAAAGTTTACTGTAAGAAACAAAATTGCTAATGCTATGCTTTGTGCAACTTCTTAACCCTTTTCGCAGTGCTATTGGCAGATCGGGTTATGGATCTTCATTTAGACTTGGCTTTGGGGAATTGGATTGCTCATGTGTAGGACCTATGTTATCTCCGTCATCTTTTTCTCCTTCGTCATCTTCTTCCCTTGGCTGAGCTAAACTTGCCTTTTGTTTCCCCTGTCTGGTATAGGTAATTATTTCCTGTTGCTTTGAATGTTAAGTTCCTGCATTTGGCTCGGGTTGAGGGTGTTCATCAAAGGTGGTCGCAGGATTAGGTTGGGGACTAGGTATGTTGGTTTGGACAGTATCTAAGGAAACTGAACCAACAAACAACCATTCATTAGAATTATTACTGTCTTTTTCAATTCCCATCTCCCCCTGAATGGATGTTTGGGTGTAATAAGGTTGTGTTGCAAAGAATGTGACATTCATGGTTATATATGTGTGATGAGTGGATCATAGCACTTGTACCCTTTTTGAGTGTTGGAATATCCTATAAAGATGCATTTAATTGCTTTAGGATCAAGTTTGCCACCATGGTCATTATGGACAAAAGTGGTACACCCAAAATTTTTTGGAGGTATATCATGCAGTGGTTGAAGGCATAGTAGTCAATAGCGGTGCTATTGCGCCGCAAGCCGCGCCAGTTGCGCTTCGCGGAGCTTCGCCGCAACCATTCTCGCCGCGCCGCACCAGATCGCAATAACGGTAGTTGTGGCCGCATTTGCGGCCAAATCTCGCCGCAACAGTGCCTTTTTATGGTTTTAACCCTAACCCACTCTCTCTTTCTGCCTCTCTGTTGTATGTCTCTCTTCTGCCTCTCATGCTCTCTTTATCACGCTTGTTTCTTCCCTTCTCTACTTTTCTCTTATAGTATTGAAGTTCAATGCGGAAGCCATGAACGAAGAAGCAAAGCTTTGAGTGAGAGGAAGAGTGAGTGAGAGAGAAAGAGAGCAGATAACGGAGAAAAGGAGAAAAAGTGAGAAAAATAGTAATAGAGAGAGGGAGCAAATGAAGGAGAAAAAGAGAAACTGTGAGAGAGAGAGAACGGATGAAAGAGAAAAAGAGAGAGAGAGAAAGTGAGAAAGAAAGAGATTCTGATCTATCTTCATTCAAAGAAAAGAAAAGTACAATTGTCAGAAAAGTGATTCACAAGTCACAAAGTATTATTTATATTTTTTTAGGTGTTATTATTTTTTTAATAATTTATTATGTTACACACACACACACATATATATATATATAATTTGTTTTTTTAATATATATATTTTTTCCGCTATTTCCGCAAGCGCAACCCACAATAACGCTATAGCGGTTTTGAGGGTTGGCCGCATTAGGCCGCAATCCGCATTTGATAACTATGGTTGAAGGGTAGGATAGATAGATTGTAGGATTTTATAAGGTGACTGAAAGTTTAATATTCTGGATGGCATACGGTTGATAAGGTATGTGGCTGTGAGAATGGCTTCTCCCCAATAATGTTTAGGTACATTGGAGGCAAATATGAGGGACCTAGCTGCTTCAAGGAGGTGTCTATTTTTTCTTTTCGCAACTCGATTTTGTTGGGGTGTATTGACACATGAACTTTGATGTATTATGCCATGAGATTTGAGGTAGGAGGAAAGGTCAGTGTTAAAGTAGTCGCGGGCATTGTCTGACCTAAGAACTTGAATATTGGTTTGGAACTGTGTTTTGACCATCATGTGGAAGGCCTTAAAAACAGAATTTACTTTGAATTTGGCTTTTAGCAAGTATACCCAAGTAATCCTTGTATTGTCATCTATGAAAGTAACAAACCATCGAGCTCCGTTTATATTCTTAATTTTAGATGGACCCCAAACATCACTATGAGTGAGAGAAAAGGGTTTGGATGGATGATATCCTTGTGAGGGATAGGAGGATTTAGCATGCTTTGAAACTTGACAAATTTCACATGATGGAAAATTAGAAATTTTATTGAATAATGATGGGTACATCTTTTTCATGTAAACAAAATTAGGATGTCCTAATCGGAAATGCCATAACAAAACATTATCATGTGAGCCAACAGATGACATAAAATTGGATCTTCCTTGGTACTGATTCTCAGGTTGTTGCAAGAAATATAGACCCTCGTAGGTCCTACCACTGAATGACATAAAATTCAATCTTCTTCCCCGTAGCCAAATCCTGAAAAGAACATTTTATATTACTAAATTTAGCAACACACTTCAGATCTTTGGTAAGTTTGCTGATTGAAAGAAGATTGCAAGATAACTTTGGAACAAATAAAGCATCTGAGGATTAAATTCTCGGAGATGACAATCGTTCCCACGCCTTTAACTTCGGCTAAATTTCCATCAGCAATCTTCACACATTGTTTTTCAGGTGTTGGAATAAGATTGGATAGGAGAGAGTGATTACCCGTCATATGGTCGGATTCCCCAGAGTCTGCAATCCAGGTATTTGAGTTTCCTGATTGGGTATGAAAGGCAGCAAAAGTATTACCTTGTTGGGCAAATGTGGCAGAGCTGGTTGGTTTCTCACGATTCGTATCAAATATCTGTTGTATCAAGTCTAGTTGTTCCTTGTTAAAGGACACAATTTCAGAGATTGAATTATTAGGTTGATTTTCTTCAGTTGACACCATCATCCCTCGATTCTCTTTTCCTTGACGGGGCTTCCAATTTGCTGGCTTTTCGTGAATTTTTCAGCATATTTCCTTAGTGTGTCCTGTTCTCTGGCAGTATTCACACCAAGGCCTTCCATTCCGTCGTGGCCTGTTATCAGAAGTAGTTTTGTTAGTAATAAAAGCATTACCTTCACAGCTAGGATCAACCTCTTGATGACAATTAGTGAGTTGTAATCTGCTATCCTCTTATTTGGCTTCTGCAAAGACTTCCTTCATTTTTGGAAGAGGGCGAGTTGCCATGACCCGATTCCTAACAGCATCAAAAATTAGGTTGAGACCCAATAGGAAGCTATATATTCAATCTCTTTCAACTATCTTCTTATAGGTAGTAGAGTCTGCTGTAGTAGTCCACTCATGCTTATCATAAAGATCTATTTGTTGCCAATATTTAACTAGAGTGTAGTAGTATTGTGTGATTGTTTTTCCTTCTTGTTTCAAATCCTTCAAGACTCCTTTGATCTGAAACATGGCAGCAGTGTTGTCATCCTTGGAATATAACTCACGAACACCGTCCCAGATTTCCTTTGCAGTAGAGCATAACATATATGTTTCCCCAATTTCAGGGGTCATTGAATTTACAAGCCAGGTCATGACAAGGTTGTTTTCTGCCTTCCAAGTTTTGTACTTGGGATCAATCTCACTAGGTTTTTCGACATCGCCAGTCAAATAATCCTCCTTTTGTTTCCCACAAATAAACATTTTTACACTTTGGGGCCATAGCAAATAACTGGAGCCATCAAAATGATGCCCTGTTATCATGAGGGAAGGGCTCTCTAGAGGCATGTTTGGTGCCATGGAGGTAGGATTAGGTTGAGTGGTGGTCGATGAATTGTTGGATGACAAGGTCTGGTACGCGCGCATTGTACCAAACTGCATGATGAATATTTTAATTGATCAGGACCTCAGATGATGAGAGCTCTGATACCAAATAGAAAATAAGGAATCATAGGAAACTCTAACGTAAGAAACGAAGAGAGAGATGGAAATAATATGTTTCTCTGTTTTTCTTATGGAGGTGCAGTACAGTATATATAGATCAGCTATGATCGATTCTGAATCAATTAAAATAAAACAGATCTAATCTAATCCCTAAAGTTTGGGAACAAAACAGATAAATGAGGAAACAAATTAAATACAAATAAAAAACAGAGCATGACAGAATCCTTATCTCCTAAAAGAAAAACTGATATTGATCCTTAATTCTAGGAAACCAGGTTGGTGACAGGTTGGCGACAATAGTAAAATCAATAGGATTAAAATTAGGGCCGGCTGAATGGCACGAGGGTTTTCAACACTTTATTTTAGAATTTGGAATATAATTGTTCCTTCTCTTTGATTCTTCAAAGAATTTCATTGAGAATTTTCAATATCAAAAACATTTGACTTCATTGGAATTTATATGTAATTTTCACCTGTCTGCATTATTCGTTTGTATGAGTTTTAAGCTCTATACCTATTGGATTACTCTCTGCAACTAGTTTACTTTATGCATGTTTTTGAATCTTGAATCTGAGTCTTGAGTCCTTACTGCTTGTCATTCTTTTCCATTGTTCTTTTCGTGGTGAAACTATTTGCCAATGTTTGCTATGCTTAACAGCAAAATAAAAAAATGTCAGATCTTGGAAGAATTGGGGGATGAATGTCAAAACTTGGTGCTTTGCCTTTTAATCCTGAATGTGCGCGTTCGTTCTGAAAATTTGGTACTGGTTACTTTAATGTGATCTTTGTATTTGTACTTATATTGTCTTCTGTTCATTCTGTTGTGGTCAGGAACTGTGGTTCCCATGCTTATGGCTGTAATGGCTGTTGTACCAATTGAGAATCTTGCTGTCCACTTCCATGACACTTATGGGCAATCCCTTCCAAATATTCTTGTGTCCCTCCAAGTAAGTCAACAAACTATATCTCAACTTCTGATTTGCTAGTTTATTGATGTAAAGAGTTTTATAGCTTGCCTCTTCTATAGGGCACCAACTATTGAACTGGTTTAATTAATGGAAACTCTATACCATCCATGAACAATTTCTATTTTCTATAGAATTTATATTTGTATTAACAAGCTTAAACTTTTATATTTTGCCAGTGTAACAATTATAATTGAACATTATTGATTTGTATCTAAACAGATGGGGATTAGTGCGGTGGATTCTTCAGTTGCTGGTCTAGGAGGGTGTCCATATGCTAAGGGAGCTTCAGGAAATGTAGCTACTGAAGATGTTGTGTACATGCTGAATGGGCTTGGTGTGAAAACCAACGTTGATCTTGGGAAGCTTATGTTAGCCGGGGACTTCATCAGCAAGCATTTGGGGCGCCCAACTGGCTCAAAGACTGCCATTGCTTTTGGCAGAGTCACAGCTGATGCTTCCAAGATATGATCATATACTTTACCATAAAAATTTATATTCAGATGCTTCTAGCAATAACAGATCATTCTATAAATTTCATTTTTTTTTCTTTTTTTCTTTTTTTGCATAAATATAAAGAGGAATAAAATGCCCGGAGTTGGGAAGTAGGATGTAATGCATTTAATCTGCTAGTAGTTACTGTAATAAGCTTCTCATTTGTGTGAAAGCTTGCAATTTTTATCCCTAATTTTTTTGTTGTTTCTGCCAACATGCATTTGTTGTGTATGATGTTTAGTTATACTATACATGACTCTAGTTTAAACTCTGAAAAGAAAAGAAAAAGAAAACATGATATACACTTACTAAGATAATTAAGATTATTTACCACCAATTTGAGGGTATTGTGGAGAGTGGAGATCAAGAAATTTTATCATTTGGCAGCGTTAACCTAACAGCTAACTTAGACCGTTTTTGCTTTTCATTTATTTGGATGCTGAGGACGGTATCTTGTCATGTTAGAAATTGAAACTTCTCAGTCAAAATGGAAATTTGTTTGCTGCTTTGTTGAGTATTTCGTATTAGAACGTGTTTGGTATACGACTTGAGGCGTAAGGAATCACGTTTGAGTTGTTGAATGTGTTTCCGAAAGTGTGTAATGATGTTTGGTTATCTTCCAGCAAAATTGCTTTAGCCATTCAATGTTATATTTTATAGAAATATTCTTGATCCAAAACTCCCTTTTTAATACTCATACGTCCAAAAGCGATTTTTACCAACGATGGATGTGCAACATAAATCATTTTGCTGTAAAAGTTAACTTGTCAGCAAAATCACATTTGGATTAATTAGCTTTATTACCGAGTTATTGTCAAATGGAACCGACTCACAAACGGACCTAAACTATGCCTATTTTTTTAAGAAATTTATCAAGCTTGAAATAATTTCATATTTAGCTAAGAGTATGGGTATAAATTGGAACACATCCTATATAAAATATTCCGAGTCCGGTCTATGGGCTTGGAGCTGACCATATTTAAAAATCAAAAAGTCAGACTTAGGTCAGTTAGCTTATTTAATTTTAGGAAAAAAATGTGTATCATTTTAAAGAATGTAAAGTTATGTCATTTTGAGAGAGAGAGAGAAAGAAAGAAATAGATAAAGAAGGAAAGAGAGTTGACAAAAAAAAAAATAAAGGTGTGAGTCACACCTCTTTGTGAGACTGAAATGACACAAGTTATGTCATTTAAAAAGATAAACATTTTTCTCTTAATTTTATTATGCCTTAAAAATTTATTATGAATAAAAAATAATACAAATAATATTTTTTTATTATTTAATAATTATCTTATTTTATGTAAAATAAATAATATGAGATAAATCAGACTTTGCTAAAAGAAAGGGTAGTGGCCTTTAAAAAAATAATGAAATTTTTACACCTTGTTCCGGATGGCCCAACGCCATAATGGCCCAATAGCCTAAGACCAAGCCCCTTAGCTGCGTCCACGTCAGCCCTACCAACTCACTAGCCCCACGACGCTCGAGGAGGTGCTCTTCCCCAAGAGATACACCAAAATGTCTCATCTTGAGACCCCAACCCCTTGGAGACCGCCCCAGACACCGTAAGTGGTAACCGCCCCTCTGTCGCGCGCTGACACCGCCAAGCGCAGAAACTGCATCACTGCTATGATGACAATGTCAGCCTTCCCCAACGAATCCCAAGGAGAGTTGACCCCCTCTCACTAACCCCCAGAAGATGGACACCAAGGTCTCTCTATACAGCCCCTCTCTATAGAAAGAGGAGGCATCTTATGTATTGTTGTTGAATCCATTTACTTATAGTCTCACGAACACACACCCTAACTCCATTGTTATCTTCCTGTAAACTTGGGACGTTATCTTCACTGAAGCATGGACACGCTTCGACACGCTCGGACACGCGGTCAACTCTCCGACACGTTTTTCGGACACGCGGTCAACTTTTTAGGACACGCAGTCAACGTTAGGACACGCTCGGATACGTTTTTTTTTTTAATTTTATTTTGTTAACTAAATATAAAAGAAATAATTTATAAATTAATTTTTTTCTTTTATGAAATTTGACATGAAAAATTAACAAAGTACAAAAAATTATTTATATTTATATTTATGTTATGAAATTTAAATATTTGATTGGTTATATGACTTATTATGGACTCTTATATGTATTAAATATAAATTATATTATATATTAAAATTTTTATTTAATATCAAAACGTGTCCCAACGTGTCCAAATATGATATTTTTTAGAATTAACGTGTCGGCGTGTCGTGTCGTGTCGTGTCCCGTGTCCCGTGTCCGTGTCCGTGCATCATAGGTTATCTTCCAGCTAGGTCACTACCTTACTCTAGAGATATAACCCATATAGAGATTCAATCCCTAAATGGAACATAGTGGGCTTATAGATTCCAACGGTACATTGGCGCCGTCTGTGAAAAAGCTATAAACTCCTATTCCCACTCTTATACCAAAGATCTACAGAAGGCAGCCCTTAGCTGCAATAAACATGGCAGTCGCAACACGAAGAGCAGATCAGACTAGAGCCATCACCCCAGAAGGGCATGCCCAAACGGTTCATTCCAGCTCTCCACCGTCTATACAGTCAGCTGCAGCCGAACAGGCAGTCGGGGCAACTCTTCCCCCGGTGCTACAATCTGTGGGTGTAAAGGTACCAGTAGCTAACGCTCGAGTAATGCGGTTGGAAGTTCGTGCAGCTATACATGAAGTCCAAGCAGAGAACTTAATCACAACGCAACCCCCACCGCCAGGAGTCCGTTTTGGAATGTCGCTTCCAACTACAGCCTTCAAACAGTTCTAGCCCTTCAAACAGTTCCAGCCCCCCGGTATCAACAGCCAGCCCGAAGCCAACTGGTAGTCATGTATAATGATCAACAGGTCCCGGCAGTCCCTGCATACCCCCCTGGTCTTTACACCCATGATGTTGGTGCCCCTTATCCGGCACCACTTTTCCCTACTGGTTTTCCATTTCATGGTTACGCCATACCCCCACATAATGCAGCAATCCCACAACCTCAAGGATCATATTTGATCCAACCCCCACACCAGCATAGCGCCCATCAAGTTCCAGCCCTTTCTTACTCCATGGAAGCTCCTCGGGCACCCCACCCACAGCCAGTCCTACACCCACACAACCAGAACTTGCGATTGACACCTGCTAATACTTCTGAACGCAACAAGCCATTAACCAATAGCCTGCGCCTAACCCCCATACCCCTTGGTTTTAAAGGCCCTTCCAATATCACAATATATGTTGGTGATACTGACCCTTTTGAATGGATCCAAAAGTTCGAAGTAGCGATGAACCTTCATGGTGAGACCGACCTCCTCATGTGCAGGACTTTCCCCATGCTCCTGGGCAGGAGAGCATTGACATGGTATACCACCTTTCCAACGGGGAGTATTGCGTCCTGGGATGATCTGGCCGGCAAATTCCAAACACATTTCGCAACTAGTCACCCAGTACCCAAATCTGTCCACTCCCTTGAAAAAATTCGCCAACAAGCTGGAGAATCCCTCGGATCTTTTTTAGACCGCTTTGATAAAGAGGCTTTCCAGGTTCAAGGTTTAGACCCCAAAGTTCAGGTACATATACTCTTTATCAAGCCTGCGACAAGGGGCGTTCGCCTATAGGCTCGCTCGCCACGAAATTACTGACCTAGAAGAGGTCAAGAAGAAGGCTCAAGAGTTCATGAGAATCGAAGAGTATAAGGGGAGCAGAGCTGACGACTCCCACAGCCGAGAGAAGAAAGAGAATAAAAATCGAGACCAAGTTGATGAAGATAGAAAGGGCCACACGTCCTCCAGATATACCAGCTGCCCCATTGGGCGTGATAACTCAGGGCATCAGTCTCACAGCGTCCTGCAAACCGAACACAAAGAAAAGCGCAAGAATAACCCACAACACCAAAAGCCGACTAGAGAAGTCATCGTATACTACAAATTCCACCGCAGCAACGACCATAGTACTGAGGAGTGCAGATCTCTCAAGGAGGAGATTGATGAATTGATTAAAGGAGGAGCTCAAAGGCGGGGGAGTAACTCTACCCGTGAAATCGGCTCTGGCAGGCGCCACCATCAGCGTAGTAGATCACCCGAAAGAAGAAGAGCCAACCAATATGATCAAAGGCCCCGCTATGAACGTAACTGGAGAGAAGACTCCCCGAGAGATCGCAGAACACGAACTAGCCCAAACAACAGAGGAGGAAGGGAAGATGATGACCAAGACGCTGCAGTCATCAAGCACTGCGTAATCAACATGATTTCAGGTGGACTAAGCGGAGGTGGAGAGACAGCAAACACAGGAAGAAACATTTGAAACAATGTTTAGCGATATCTGGTAAAATCATCAGCAAAACAAAAGCTGGCTCTGGTCCCGTGATATGCCTCCAGCATATGTATAAATCTAAGCCAAAAAGAGAAAGAATCTTGATCAATCCTGGATAAAAAGGGCTAGAATAACTGATAATTTGATAAATCTCAATCAGAGATCACGCAACTGATTTCCTTTTGATTTTGTAGGAAAAAAGACAAAAATTAACCCAAGTGGAAGTTTCCAAGTTGAAGCCCCACGCTACTAGCGTGGAACTCACGCTAGTAACGCCAGAATTAAATTTCATCCAGAGACATCCACGCTCACAGCGTGAAACTCAAGCTAGTTGCGTCAGGCTTTCTTGCAACCCACGCTCACAGCGTGGGAACCACGCTAGTTGCGTCAACTTCTAGTAACGTGAATAAAACTCCCACGCTGTAAGCGTGGGAGCCACGCTAGTAGCGTGGGAGGTGCGGACATATCAGCAGTAAATCCTGTTCTGTATCAGCGGAAGATTAGACAGAGATGTACGACGAAGATTTAATCAAGATATTTGAGCAAGACACAAAGTCTATAAATAGAGGCTTAGACCCCTAGAGAAAATAATCTTTGGCTGGAGAGAATTCTTGGAGGCTCACGCTGGAGATCAAGATTCTGACAAAGTTTAAGAACGAAGACCATTGATCCTTCATCTCCTTCTTCTTTTTCTTTATATTTTTCATGAATACTTTTTATTTCTTTAATTTGTTTAAGCCAGCTATGTCTGGCTAGTTTGTTTTTGTAGTTGGGATCACGGACCCAATGTGAATCCTTTATAATTTCTGTATTGATATTTTATAAGTTAATTAG